TGCATAATAGATTTAGATAAGGGAAAACTACACATAAGAAGAGTTGGGAACAAATCTTCTCCAAGAATAGTTCTCTCCAGGTATCTACATGAATTAATCCTACGACTCTTAAGACGCCACATCAACAACTTATTTTTGACTCATTCAAAACACTAAAAGTTACTACACTTCCTTAAAATATCTAACTATATTAAATTACAGTTTACCTACATTAAAAAAAAAAAAACTTTTTTTCTCTTTCTCCTCTCTTCCTTCTCTCTCCTATATATAACACACACATATATATATACACACACACACATGACTAGATTATATATATACATATATATATATATATATATATATATAGATTATATATATACATATACGTCGGAGTCCAGGAATGTTGTCTCTGGCGTCCATGCGCTCGGAGAAGGTGACCATGGGTTTTGTGATCCGGCTTCCATGTATGCAACAGGATCCGTTCTCCAATAATATATATTTAAGAGTTTGAACAGTTTTGTTGATTGCCATCACCAAGCATTGGAATTGTTAATTGATTCGAAGACTTCAAGCTTGAACAGTTTTATTGATTGAAGGTTTGAAGCATTTATTCGCCACTTTTCAACAGATTCTTGTGAACCCAATTAGATGCGACATCTGGAACGACATAGAAAGAAAGAAAGAGGAGGTTTGAGAGAGAGAGTTGTCAATGGCGGATCAAGAAATAAATATATATAATCTATATCTATATATATATATATATCTCTACCAATCTGGATATATATATGTTATATATAGGAGAGGGAAGGAAGAGAGGAGAAAGAGAAAAAAAGTTTTTTTTTTGAATGTGGGTAAACTTGTAATTTAATATAGTTAGATATTTTAAGAAAGTGTAGTAACTTTTAGTCTTTTAAAGAGTAAAAAATAAATTGTTGACGTGGTACCTTAGGAGTCATAGGATTAATACATGTAGATACCTGGAGAGAACTATTCTTGGAGAGGATCCATACCCAGAAGAGTTAGGGCGGGTAAACACTTTTTTGATCTATTAGAGGAAGTGTTAAAAGGTCAGTAACCCAGTACTTCATTCATAGGACTAGGACTGCTCAAGGCAAAGTTCGGTATGAGTCCAAAATAACAAAATGTTCTATTTAAAAGTCTAATTTTTAATTTGTTAGATTTAAACAAAATAATTACAAATACATTAAGAATTATTGTTAAAGTCCCAGATACCCTCTTCCTAATCTGACTTACTTTTTTGGTAGTCAAAAAATATGCCTCTTTAAGTGCTGCTTATTTCTTTCTTTAATAAAATTGATTAATTATCCCTATATATATATGTATATCAAATATATATTTTCCCGAATTATCTTTTTAAATTGATTTCATGTATATTTTTAGTGAGACCAAATTTACAAGATTGCATAATAAAATAAAATAATCGTACCAATAGAAAACCTATATTATTTTGCTAAGAACACAACGAGTATCACATGATTCCAACAAAATAATGTAACAAGTACTAATATTTCATTCTCAACAAAGGTCATCTTTATTATAAAATTAAGAAAAGAACTGAAAGAATATTGCTTGCAACAATAAGTCATATGCCTTACATCATAAAATTTTATTACAATTTTTATGTTTCAAAAAGTGTTTTGTGTCTTTAATTAGACTTTTACACCATAACATTGGTACTGTTTATTGGTAGGTTTATCTTGGTAAGTTTATTTTATTTTGTTTTTTTAATTTTATTCCATAATTTCGTAAGTTTGGTCTCTTTACAAATTATGCATGACATCACTTTGAAATGATAATTGGAAACTTTCTTATATATATTGATAATTAAGCAAGGAAACAAACAACTCAACAACAAAAAAACAAATTATATTACAAAGAGGGTATTAGCAACTTTAATAATAATTCTTGATACATTTGTAATTATTTTGTTTAAATCGATCAAATTGAAAAATAGATTTTTAATATAGATTATTTTGTTATTTAGACTCCTAACTCTACCTATATGTAGTTTTTCCTTTAAATAATGTAAGGATGCAATAAATTTTCTGCAGTATTAGGAAACAACATCAATGTGAACAATCTAGCCGTTATGATTAAATAAAAAAAGAAAATAGGCCGCTGTTATGATTCTAACAAAAGAAAAAATTGTGCTCATATCCCCTCCCAAAAATTGTGCTCATAGTCAATGTTCATAATCTAGCTGTTATGATTCTAAAAAAAGAAAAAATGGACTATTAATAGGAGACATACATTTAACTTCTCCTCTGATCTTCTTGGCAAAGTCCTATCTTAGAAAATCAACAACAAAACAAGCCCCAAGTCATGAACTCTTCCAAAACATTCGTGCTCATGCTTTTCCTGGCACTAACCATGAATGAGCAGTTGGTCGAGTCAGTCAAGTGGTCATTATCAACAGCATACAAGATAATACGCCGCTGCAACTCTATTGCCGGACAAAAGGCAGAGATCTCGGCCTTCAGAATGTCCCGTTCGACAGCCAGTTTCAGTGGACTATCCGTGCTAATGAAACCGAGCCACACTCCTGTGAATTGAGCCATGGAAATTTGAATGGCCATTTCGACATCTTTGACAGAGATTACGTTACTGGTAGGTGTGAAGGTCAGTGTATTTGGAGGGTGACGAGTGATGGATTGTATCTCTTCTTCGAGAGATCAAAAACTTATGAGTTGATATTTCGATGGCCAAAGTGAGTCAGTGATTGTATTGAATGAATAATATATATGCTTACAAAAATGTATTGGCATCATGGCATGGCTTTACTTATTATAAGGTCTATGTCATGTACTTTTTGTTCCAAAAATAAAAGAATGAAAATTTCATTCGACTTCTTGTTTTTGATTGAATTGGGTAAATTAATGGTTGGTGTTCTTTTTCATGTTACATATTAATCTGAATTTTTTTTAGCATAATTTAGTGTCTACAATAATTTAAAAAAAAAAAAAGAAAAAAGAAAAAAAAATAGTGTTATCAACCCGTCAGGCCTAGCGGTACAATTTGAGTGTCCGTGGAAGCCAAAAAAAATAGAGTAGGCTTATTTAAGCCTAGCTATAAGAATGGTAGCTAGTATAGGCTGCATCTCAATTTAACAATTCGGAATCCAAAGTCTTCATAAAGTCTTCATACCGGGGATTATATGGTCTCAATTAATAACAAACCAAAACAAATATGTTAAATTTATTCAATTTTTTATGTGTATAAATACCAATTAAAAATATATATATATATGTAGGTTTATTTAAGCCTAGCTAAGAATAGTAGCTAGTATAGGCTAGGTGTTGTTACAAGGGTCATTTGCCCCATATCGGATTCGAATGAGAAAGTGATTGGGTATAAATGAGTGGGTATGCAGTACTACCCAATAGTTCGAGCTTTTTGGTAAATGGGCAAGCGCCCACCCGTTACAGTTGGTATTAGAGCCAGACTCAACCCTTGATCCGGTGCCACTCCAAGCGCCCGACCCGAAATGCTTCTGCGTAAGCCACCCCGGGTTGGCAAGGTGACCCGACCACAATGAGGGCGTTGCGAGTTCGGGTAGGGGAGAATGTTACAAAGGTCATTTGCCCCACATCAAATCCGGATGAGAAAGTGATTGGGTATAAATGGGTGGGTATGCAGCACTACCCAATAGTTCGAGCTTTTGGGTAAATGGGCAAGCGTCCACCAGTTACACTAGGGGATTATATGGTCTCGATCAATAACAAACAAAAACAAATATGTTAAATTTATTTTATTTTTTTTTTTTGGTTTACTTGGCACAACTTTGTAATAATTTCTCATTACATATGTAATACATGTTGGAATGACTTGGACCTGTATAGTTATATTTGTTTGGGCTGAAATAAGCCTTTTATTTGTAAATGGGAAATCCATTCATTGTTTTGGATTTTACACGCCATTGCTTGTAAATGGTGTTCTCACACTAACCTATTACATTGATTGGGCCCACCATACCGGCCCATTCGTGTATTTTGTTTGTAAATGCTGTCCTCACCCTTGGGCCTAAGCTATGAGATTGCTTGGGCCCACCTATGTAAGTGCCCACCTCTATACACTTATATACTAAATTATCTATATACTTTGGTTGATTTTCAACCAAAAAAGTATAAATAAATCACCATGATTTTAGGATTTAAACACATTATATACTACCTGATTGATCCATGCATAAAGGAAATCAAAAGCTGAAAGAATAAAAATTAAAATTAAATGAAAAATATGTTAAAGAAGATGAAATTTGGCTGCCCAAAAAGATCTAAAAAGGTGAAGGAACACTTGATACATTAAACAAGAACATGCATGCACTTCAAAATTCAAGCGAGATACAAAATAACACGATACAAATAAAAAAAATTTAAAAAAAATCTCAAATAGAATGAAATAAAAAAATTTAAAAAAAATCTCAAATAGAATGAAATAGTATCACGAACATGATAAATATGTCAGCACCGAAGAATGCTGGAATGCAGATGGAGATTATTTGAGGGTTAATTAACAGAGAAAGGGACAGATTGGTCGAGTGTGTTAACCAAGAGAGAGAAAGAGAACGTGGAGAGAAAGAGAGAGAAAAAATGTTTATTTGTTTCCTTAATTGCTAAGAATTCTTTTTTAATTAGTCTCTCCCAAATCCCTAAAAATAAGAATTATGTGGCTAATAAGCAAGGAGCTTTTTAAATAAATAAAAAAATTGGCATATCACACCTTATTGCCAATATTCTACTAATTGGGGAGAGGAGTAATACTAGACACAATGATTTCTTTTATGAATCACACTTACTAATCCAATCACACTTATTAATCCAATCACAAATGTCTTCTTCTTATACTATTTAAGTAGAACATCCCTCAAAACAAATTTATCCTCTCCAGTACTGATATTCTTGGCAAGTCATATCTTGAATATCAACAACAAAACAAGCCCCAAATAAGTCATGAACTCTTCCAAAACTCTGGTGCTCATACTTTTCCTGGCACTAACCATGAATGAGTTGTTGTTGGTAGAGTCAATCGTCATAGCCCGTGTCCAAGTGCTCATGATCAACGACATACCTGATCTTACGCCGGTGACATTCCATTGCCAATCACAAGGTAGAGATCTCGGCGTTCGTAATGTCCCAACCAACGGCCCGGTTGAGTGGTACATGGACATTTATAATACGAAAAACGAGGCAGCCTACTGTGACTTGAGATATAGAGATTTGCATGGCAGTTTGGACATATACGAAACCAAGAGAGATTATCGTACTGGTAGGTGTCGTAATAATCAGTGTCTTTGGAGTGTGAGGAAAGATGGATTGTATCTCTACAACAAGAAAGCAGATATTTATGAGTTCCAGTTTGGCTGGGAAGTGAATCAGTGATTGTAATTGGCCTGCATGGTTAATGGTTTTACTTGTAAGGTCATGTCATCTACTATTTTTTTTTTCTTTTTTCCCGAGAATAAAAGAATGAAAAACTCGTTTGGCTTCTTGTTTTTTTTAGTGTTAAAAAATCATTAGTCTACCGACCATTTACCCAACCAAAAATCAATGATAAAGGTTGACATGGTGTGTTTCCACCTAAATATCTCTCTTCACGATCTCCTCCTCCTCCTCCTCCTTCTTCTTCTTGCCCTTGCCACCTACTTATTTTAATTTTAATGACTCCCCTTTTTATTAATTGGCTAATTAATGACCGGGACCACTTGATAATTTCCTTTTAAAAGATGTCATCGAGATGTTGTCCTTGCCAAAGGTTCCAGTCAATAACAAACTATGACCCTTTTAATAATGATTGAAACTTTTTTTTATTTAGATTTGGTCAAATACCACACATCTTTTGAGAAATACTATCACTCACACCTCCGATCATTTTTCGTCAACACTGTCAAAATGGGTGTGGAATGACATTTTTACCCTCATCTTTTTATAATTTTTAATTTAAAATCTCATAATTGTAAAAAGACAAAATTACCCCATCACCCTCACCCTCACTCACACGCTCTCTTTTCCAAGCCAGCACCGACCACCCCCCACCACCACACCATCATTGCCAGATGAGTCGAGCTTTTAACTAATCGACCTCGTCTTTCATCTCCACTGTCAAATTCATTTGTGTTGCCCTTTATCAATCATTTCACAGAGATCTAATTATTTTCCAATTACAGTAAAGACATAGCAAAATATAAATTTTAACCTGGGAAAAAATTATTACCCGGCTCGATTTTTTATTTTAATTATTATTGTTATTTCCTTAAACAGTTTTGTTGGTTCCTTTTCCTTTTCTTAGAAGGATTTGGAGAAAAAAGGAAAATTCTAGAAAATTGGAAAATTCTATATATATTCGTGAATATATATAGACATATGCATATGTACGTGTATTGTGTTTCTCTGGCTCAATTAAATTTATCGATAAAAATTCCTAGATTTCCTATGGCATCTCAATTGGTTTCTTCTATTCGTCATCACAGCTTTGGTCATTGCCTTTGAATTGCTTCATCTAATGAATAACACAGGTGTTCGAGTCTTCTAACCACCAAGTTTATTAACCAAACCCAAATTTGTTCAAGCCCTAATTTGCTTTCTTTCAATGAATTAAAAAACCATAATTTTTCATTCGGGATGTTCCATTCTTTACAATATCAACACACGCCAAACTTCGACCTCCCAAACATCCAACAGGAGCAATCGGAAAGAGAATGAGATACTGTGTTACCCTTTTCAACTATACCCTAACTACAATATATTCCACCTCGATCTAGACACAATAATCTATTAGAAACAAATCACACCACTTGTTCTCAATAGACCGGCGTCGTTGATGGGTGTGCGTCCGACGGAGATCGATCTGTTAGTGGATATGAGGGTGGTGATCGTTGTGGTGTTAATTGTTAGGTGTGGAGGTGGTGGCCAGGGGCGGATATCCATATATACATAATGGGGTGGGTTAATCTAGGTTGAGCTAGTATTACCATTATTTTTATTTTTATTTATTTATTTATTTATTGGCTGGCTAAAATTACCTCTAATAAATTTTTTATATCACCTCACACACACACATGCATATATACATGTTCAATTGCTCATTGATGAGTAAGGGAGCAATATATTCACTTTTATTCATAGTCAGGATCTAATGTTACGGCTAATTGAAACAATAGTTATTTTAGGTAATTGTCTTTCTTTTAATTAACTATTAATTATGAAATGACTATATTAGATACTTTCTTAAAATAATAATAATAATTTTTTTTAATCTGATTAAACTTTAACTATGTCCCTTTCCACCATTGTCAGTCCGTCACCACCACCCACTTCCTCCCCCACTGCCACGACCACCTCCCCCAACCACCCCACAACACTGCTACCCACCACCACCACCACCATATTGCCACCCACCACCACCACCATACACCAATAATTATAAGGACGACAATTAATTTGTACATTTGGTAATTCTTAGTCAAAAGTAGCCTTCAAATCTATCTGGGTGGAGGTGGTGGTGGAGGTGGTGGTGGCGGCCGGGGTAGAGATGACAGTGGCGGCGGAGTGATGGCAATTCATGATTAAATATTTTTTTTCCTTTAAGAATATATCCAATATAGTTATTTCATAATTAATGGTTAATTAAAAGAAGGATAACACTTGCCTACTCATCGGTGAGTATGAATTTCATATATACTTAACACCTGTGTGGCAGGACAATAAAATGATAAGTGTCCCTCCAATAAAAAATAAAAGATTTGGAAAGTTATTTGGGTTAAGCTCAATAAAATCTTAATCAAATCCTAATTTGATTATTTCTCTTTCTTATAAAATCCGAATCAAACCCAAAAAAATTATGTAGAAGGAATTAGATTAATTTTTTTTTTATGATGGTGAGACTTAATAGTTCAATTGTAAACCCAACCACTCCCTGCTAGAGTATTTGCATTAAAATAGGTTTATTAACATTATTCAAATAAATAAAAGAAAGTATTTAGTCATGATTTAGTAAAAAATTAAAATTTGTTTTCTTAAGAATTCTTTTTGGTTGATTAATTATAAGACAATCATAGATTCATATTTTCACATGTGGGACAAGACACCCATTAACAAGTGCAAGTATCTGCCTTTACACAAACAATTTGGTGTATATATATATATATATATATATATATATATTTTGTCAACAAGAAGACAATGGAGAGCTAAACAACACAGGCCACGCTTCAAAAGAACAAAATCAATATATATATATATATATATATATATATATATATATATATATATATATACATGAAATCTTATAACCCACAATCGAAAATCCTAATCCAATTCATTTTATGGATTTGATTTGAGCAAGATACTTGTAATTGTGATTCCTTAAGGCTTAGAGATTAAGGCAATAGAGTAGCATGGGAAAGTGATAATTAAATATGCGTTTGATTTGGATCCTACTTGATTTAACCCAAATAACTTCTTAAATCTTTTATTAATTATTTTTTTTACATTGTGGTGAGTAGGCAAGTATTGTCCTTAAAAGAATGTGAAAAATAATTATTCTCCCCAGTAGCAGAAGACTATAAGTAAAAGTGAGTGTATCACTCCTGCTCACAAAAAAGCAATTGGACACTACTGTGTGTGTAGAATAGTGATCTCTTGCTCCCCATGGAGCAAGAAAATTCATCCGCACTTTTTATAGTGACCATTAAATTTAATCTAATGGTCACATTTTAAACCTACTTATATGCTTTCATTTTAATACAAAATCATTATCACTATTTCTAATTAGCAAATTTAATATTTACTAATACCATTAATTATAACAATAAAAAGTAAGTACTAACAAAATAAAAATAGAAATCTCTTCGCCTCTCAAATCACATCTCACCACTAAATAGAATTTTATTTTCTTTAAAAAAAATTTGTAAGTGTTAGAAAATTACATCCGCGACTTGATACTAAAGTTGACATTGCCTATTTGTCTGAGTGTGAAAAAGAAATTAAAAATTACACTATTGACATACAAAATATCGACTAAAAAATAAAAAAAAATTAAAAATAAAATCTTTATTTTTTTATCCACTTGACAACTTAAGGTAACCTGTGATTTGCACATCACTTCACCCATAAAAAAAATAAAAATAATAATAATAATAATAGATTACAATTTAAATTATTATATACCACCCTAATTCCCTAAATGCATGTCATTTAAAAATTAGAAATTCAATCTATTTTTCCTTTGTAAATTAGTTGTTTTTTTTAGTGTTTTCTTTAATACTACTATTATTATACTATCATCATCATTTTTTATTTTTTTTTCACTATCATCATTTTTTTATATATATATTTTTTTTGGTAAGTAAAAAAAGTATAAAATACGGCTAATATGTAAAGTAACAACAAAGACATCAAAGAAAACAAAATTTTCAATTAGTGGTGGTGAGACATTCCAGAGATGAAGCAATTTCTATTTTTATTTATTTGGTACTTACCTTTTATTATTGTAATTAGCGACATTGGTAAATATTAAATTTAGAAAGTAAAAATAGTGATGATGGTTTTGTATTAAAAGGAAAGCGTATAGGTGGGTTTGGAGTGTGGAAGAATTTTCTTGGTCTACGAGGAGCAAGAGATCACTACTCTGTGTGTGTATATATAATTATAAATTTACAAAACATTTAGGGATAGTTTAGTCTTTTAGTATATTTCTTTAGGTTGAAGATTTTTTTTTGACAAAGTTAAAGGGCATTTAAGTCGGTTTATATGGTGTCAGAAGCATAAAGGTAACAGTTGAAATGTTAGTGAAAAATGGAACAAACGTTTATAAGATGAGTGATAGTAATTTTCGAAAGTTATTTCAAATGGTATTTGGCCAAACCTAATTAGTGAAATTAATCCTTTTTTATTTTAAAAAAATAACAAAAATAAAAAATTCTTACTAATTAGTATAAATGTAGATAAGGAGCATGAAAATATAATTGACTGCCTTTTAGTTAAGTGGAAACAACCCATTGATGGATAATGGATTTAGATAAGGATGCAATAAATTTTCTATAGTATTAGGAAATAACATCAATGTGAATAATCTAGCTATTATCATTAAATTCCTCATTTGAAAGTAATAAACGTAATTATTTCTAGACAATACTTACCATATATGTGATGGAACAATTTTATAATGACACTTCAAATTTAATTGTTAATTAAAAAAATTCGAAAAGAAAAAGGAATGGAATAAATCAGGGGAACCCATTTCATTTTTTACCAAAAATAATAATAATATAATACACACAAAAAAATAGTTATTGTATCTTTGTTGAAAATTTATCTTTTGAGACAAAAAAAATAAAAATAAAAATAAAAATAAAAAAAGGAAGAAGATGAAGATGAAGAAGAAGAAAAAGAAAAAGATTAAAAAAAATGTTATGTCTGTTGAATAAATTATCTCTTTGACAAGGCTCCTCCCCCTTTAAATTTTTTTTTTATGTGAACAAGACGCTAAAGAAAATAACTAATGTAAAGAAAGTTAAAGTTTATAATATAAAGAATAGTTATGATATTGTAAAATAATAGATGGTGAATTTAAAGATCTTTTGTCATTTTATTTAGAACGAAAAGACAAATGGAGTCAAGTATAGAAAAATGGAATGCCATTATGCCCCCTTTATTATTTTTCAAAGTTTATAAAGATTGTTCCTTTTATATTTACCAATTTGTGATCCTAAGTTTAAATATTTAATTATGTATATTATGAAGTTGAAAGATTTTTGGAATCTTAAACAGATAATGATAGAAAGATAACATTTGTTCTAAAAAGGAAAAATGGACTATTAACAGGAGACATACATTTAACGTCTCCTCTCATCTTCTTGGCAAGTCATATCTTAGAAAATCAACAACAAAACAAGCCCCAAGTAATGAACTCTTCCAAAACATTTGTGCTTAACTTTTCCTGGCACTAACCATGAATGAGCTGTTGGTGGAGTCATTCACCATAACTCAAGTCCAAGTGATCAACAACTTACAAGATAATAGGCCGCTGACAGTCTATTGCCGGACACAAGGTAGAGATCTCGGCGTTCAGAATGTCCCGTTCGGCCGCGCGTTTCGGTGGACTGTCGGTGTTAAGGAAATCGAGCCATACCACTGTGACTTGAGCCATGGAAATTTGCATGGCCATTTCGACATGTTTGATAGAGCTTACGTTACTGGTCAGTGTGATGATGGTCAGTGTGTTTGGAGGGTGAAGAGTGATGGATTGTATCTCAAGAGATCAAATACTTATGAGTTGATGTTTCGATGGCCATAGTGAGTCAGTGATTGTATTGAACGAATAATATATGCTTACAAAAATGTATTGGCATCATGGCATGGCTTTACTTATTCTAAGGTCTATGTCATGTACTTGTTTTTATTGGACACAAATGGGATACACGTATTGGGGAATATATTTTGTAATTATTTTTTAAGAAAAAATTAAAAGGTACCTAATGTAATTTTAAATGTTTAAATATAAAATTTTGAAAAATTTGAAAAACAATTACACAGACAATAAACTAATGAAAGAAGAATGTTAAACATGTTGAAAATGTACTTGATCTTATTTGTATAATTTTGTTGATAACTTTGTTAGGTTCTTAATTGCTTAATTGATGAATTGAAGTATTTCTTTTATTGTAATTTTTTTTTTTTGTTTTTTTTTTTTTAGATTGGAGTTATGGTATTATGGATTATGAATATATATATATAATTTTATTGGTGTATCCCTGTGTTTGTGTCCTATTTTTATGAAATTTGCCGTGTCGCCATATCCATGTCGTGTCGTACAAGGGTATATAGGTTGTGGCCCATATTCAACCCGCTTGTAACGGTTAAATATGAGTTAGGTGAAAAGGGGTCGGATCAACCCGTCATGACCCGCCAACCCGTTTTAAGAAGAAAAAATTATTATTATTTTGGATAATCTCATTATTGTTATATAAATATTAATTAACATAAACAATAATATCAAAACAAAGAACTTTGAGAGAGAATACAAAATGTAGAGAGAGAACGCTTTCTTTATTAATTTTCTTTTGTTTTATCTATACATTTTAGATACACACCAATATATATATATATATAGCTATAAGCCAAACACTTACAAAGCAAGCTAAGGAAATAACTTGCTTAATTGAATGTGTTCACACCTACAATATTATATAGGGAAAATTATATTTTAGTGACCAAAATTAAAAATAATTGCTATATAGTGACCTTAAAGTCAAGAAAAGGTGAATAGTGACCAATCTTAAAACTTAATTGATATTAAGTGACCATTTAAGGATAATTTGGTCAAAAATACTTAAAAGTTTAATAAACATTTTAAAAATAAATTTTAGATGACAAAATTGCCATCCAATATAAATAATAAGTCTCTCTCTCTCTCTAATCCAACGTTTTCTTTTTTTCCTTTTTAATTTATAATTTACCAATTTAAAAAATTAAGATTTCTTTATCAACATTATCTTTTTTTTACCCTTTATCTATTTTTCAAGGCTCTCAACCATCTAATATTTTCCTTTTTAGTTTACAATTTACCAATTTAAAAAATTAAAATTTCTTTATCAACATTATCTCTTTTCCATCCTTTATTTATTTTTTAAGGCTCTCCAGCATGAATGCTCATAACATTTACAGTGGCAAATCATACTTTTGAAACACCCTTTAACAGTTAGTAAAATTATGAAATTAATCAACAATAGTCATTATTTCTTGAACTATAACTAAGTAGTATTAAAAATTCCTAAAAATTACAATATTATATCTCAAGGAAGATCTCTCAGACAAATCAACTCGTAAAGTATAATAATTATACCTTGAAAATAATGAATAAGAAGAAAATTTACAATTTTCTCGTCATGTCTCTTAGTCCATCATCAGTTCTCTCACATCTTGATCTTCTCTTCAGAGACTCACCCTAATAATCTGTCGCCTTTTTGTTAGTCAATTTAAGTAAGTGTTTATTTAGGTTAATGTAGAGGGTAAATTTGTTTACTTACATAATAATAAATTATAAGAAAGCTATTTAGGTAATAAACCATCAAATGGTCACTTAATATCAATTAAGTTTCAAAATTGATCACTATTCACCCTTTCTTGACTTTAAGGTCACTTTATAGCAATTATATTTAATTTTGGTCACCAAAATATAATTTTCCCTATTATTATATACAATGAAGCTACACAAATAATTCAAACCTACAACATTATATATACAATGAAGCTATACACATAATTCAAACCTGCGAATCAAATTCTCTCAATAGTGGGCCACACTACTAATTCTATTTCTTCTAAAATTTCATAAATAGTGGACCCCACACCATATATATAAATATAACAATTATAATAGTTTTTTATTTTAGATGGATAAAAGCTTGTAAAAATATTTATGGATTAGGATGCAATAAATTTTCTATAGTATTAGGAAAAAACATCGATGTGAATAATCTAGCTATTATCATTAAATTCCTCATTTGAATGTAATAAACGTAATTCTTTCTAGACAATACTTACCATATATGTGATGGAACAATTTTATTATGACATTTCAAATTTAATTGTTAATTAAAAAAATTAGAAAAGAAAAAAGAATGGAATAAATCAGGGGAACCCATTTCATTTTTTACCAAAATAATAATAATAATAATATAACACACAAATATATATATATAGTTATTGTATCTTTGTTTAAAATTATCTTTCGAGACAAAAAAGAAAAAATAGAAAAAAAATATATTTCTGTTGAATAAATTATCTCTTTTGACAAGGTCCCCCCCCTTCAATTTTTTTTTTTTATCTGAACAAGACACGTAAAAAAAAGTTAAAGTAGTTTATGGTACAAAGGATAGTTATGATGTTGTAAAATAATAGATGGTGAGTTTAAAGATTTTCTGTCATTTTATTTAGAAGGAAAAAGCAAATGAAGTCAAGTGTAGAAAAATGGAGTGCCATTATGCCCCCTTTATTATTTTTCAAAGTTTATAAGGATTTTTCCTTTTATATTTATCAATTTGTGATTGCAAGTTTAAAAATGTAATTATGTATATTACTAAGTTGAAAGATTTTTGGAATCTTAAAAAGATAATGATAGAACGGTAACATTTATCCTAAAAAGAAAAAAATGGACTATTAATACTAGACATGCATCTAACTTCTCCTCTCATCTTCTTCTTGGCAAATCATATCTTAGAAAATCAACAACAAAACAAGCCCCAAGTCATGAACTCTTCCAAAACATTTGTGCTCATACTTTTCCTGGCACTAACCACGAATGAGCTGTTGGTGGAGTCATTCACCACCGTAGCTCAAGTCCAAGTGATCATAATCAACAACTTACAAGATAGTACGCCGCTGACAGTCTATTGCCGGTCAGAAGGTAGAAATTTCGGCGTTCAGAATATCCCGTTCGGCCTCTCCTTTCAGTGGACTGTCGGTGCTAAGGAAACCGCGCCATTCTTCTGTGACTTGAGCCATGGAAATTTGCATGGCTTTTTCGACATTTTTGACAGAGATTACGTTACTGGTCAGTGTGATGAGGGTCAGTGTGTTTGGAGGGTGAAGAGTGATGGATTGTATTTCAAGAGATCAAATACTTATGTGTTGCAGTTTCGATGGCCATAGTGGGTCAGTGATTGTATTGAATGAATAATATATGGTTACAAAAATGTATTGGCAAGGCTTTACTTATTATAAGGTCTATCTCACCTACTTTTTTTTTTAATTTTTCCCAAAATAAAAGAATCAAAAATTCATTTGACTTCTTGTTTTTGATTGAATTGGGTAAATTAATATGGTTGGTGTTCTTTTTCATGTTATAGATTGTAGATATAGTCAAAGAAAAGAGATCTGGGAATATATTACTAAGCAATATGAGGAATGCAGAAAGGTGGAAGAAAGGAGAGAAAACCAGTCCAGTCAGAGAATTGGACCAATAGTAGGGAAGAAGTTGCCGTCCTTCTTTTTTCGTCATTACCTTCTTTTTATAACCTTAGGTCATCCAGGTGGTACACTGTTGGGCCTCCATCTTGGGAATAGGTCAGGGTCATTCCCTTTTTGGGTCATGTTGCCCTAATCCTTACATTTTTGGATCCACCACCAGTACCTTTCCTGGTGAATAATCCAAAAAATGGCAAGCTGTAAAGGCAATTGTACTATTCCAGTGGGCCTTACCTTAGTGGGCAAGACATTACTAATTTTCCATCCTCCATTCCAAAATCCCTTCTGCATCCCAATGTCACCTGAAGAGCCCAACCATAACTCTTCGTTGCTTGGTTCGACGTCCACCGATCATGGCAGTGTCAGATCGGCCTGTCGATCGACAGATTGAGTCGGATCGAGGTTCAGGGCCTGTCGATCGACAGATTGAGTCGGATCGAGGTTCGAGGCCCGACGATCGACAAGGTCGGATCGAGGTTCGAGGCCCATCGATCGACAGGTCAGATCGAGGTTCGAGGCCCGTCGATCGACGGATTGTGAAAGTCGGATCGAGGTTCAAAGCCCGTCGATCGACAGTTTATGAAGGTCGGATCGAGGTTCAAGGCCCGTCGATCAACAGATTGTCAAGGAGGCCCGTCGATCAACAGATTGTCAAGGAGGCCCGTCGATCTACGGATTGTGAAAGTTGGATTGAAGTTCAAGGCCCGTCGATCGACAGTTTATGAAGGTCGGATCGAGGTTCAAGGCCCGTCGATCAACAGATTGTCAAGGGTCAGATCGAGATTCAAGGTCCATCGATCGACAATTTGTGACTCAGATCAAGGTTCAAGGCCCGTTGATCGATGATTTGTGATTAACAGATCCAGGTTGAAGGCCCATCGACCAACAGAATGTCAAAAGGTCAAATCGAGGTTCAAGGCCCGTCGATCGACAACAACTCGAATTGAGGTTATGACCTGATCTATGACTCAGGTTCAAAGCCCATCAGCCGAATATAGACTAATATTGAGGCCCAATGATCAACTATCACATGCCTTGCTGAGGTGGACTTTGTCAAAGTGTTGACTGTTTGACTTAGCCCTTGGTGACGTAGCTAAACCACGTCCACACAGATTAATTTGATTTTTTTTTGTTGGCATAATTTAGTGTCTATACAAAAAAAAAGAGTAGTGTTACTAACACACAAGTGGCCTAGTGATACCAAATTCTTACTTTCCAAAAAATTACTTTCCAAAAAAAGTTAAGGCTTGAGACGTGTGTGAGTAAAAAATAAAAAATAAAATCAGAATTTGAAATCCAAAATCTTCATACCGTGATTATATGGTCTGGATAAATAACAAACTCAAATAAATATGTTAGATTTATTTAATTTTGTGTTTACTTGGCACTTTGTTATTGGCGGAATAATATTGTCCATTGTAATAATTTCTCATATGTAGCTACACATCTTGGAATGACTTGGACCAATATAGTTATATTTGTTTGGGCTAAAATAAGCCTTTTCTTTGTAAATGGGAAATCCATTCCTTGTTTTGGTTTTTACACCCAGGCATTGGTTGTAAATGGTGTTCTCACAGTTGGCCCAAGCTATGACATTGCTTGGGCCCACCATACCGGCCCATTACCTCGATTTTGCTTGTAAATGCTGTCCTCACCCTTGGGCTAAGCTATGCGATTGTTTGGGCCCACCTATGTAAGTGCCCACCTCTCTACACTTATATACTAAATTTCTATGTACTTCGGTTGATTCTCTACCAAATAAATAAATAAATCACCATGAGTTTAGGATTTAAACACATTACATATTACGTGATTAATCCATGCATAAAGAAGATCAAAAGCTAAAAGAATAAAAATTAAGGTTCCGTTTGTTTGGATGTAAAATATTTTTTTAAAATTAATTTTATATTTTTTGGTGTTTGGTTATTGTAAAATATTTACGAAGAAAAAAAATATTTAAATTTAATAAAAATAAATTAACCTTTAGTTTTTTACTGGACTCGACCCCAATCTTGAAGTAAATTTTTGCCAAACATCAAAAATTAAAAATAAAATAATATTTTACATGAAAAATAAACATATTTTTTATTTTATGTCAAAACAAACAAGGCCTAAATAAAAAATAGGTTAAAGAAAACGAAATTTGGGTGCCCAAAAAGATTTTAAAAAGTGAACATTTGATACATTAAACAAGAACATGAGCGAGATACAAAATAGTTTCGGCACAAAACACGATACACCAAAGCCCTACTAATAAAGCCTTAAAACATAACACAACAAAACACAGCCAACCAACCATAGTACGTACGTAACAACCACAACTTACTAAAAATACTAAGACCCTTGGACAAACATCATCAATCCACGCAATATGGAGAAATTAAGTTGAGACGTGACAACAATTATTAATCTAAGGTATTATACCACCAACACCACCGGCACCACCGACTCCACCGCCTAAGCCACCCAAGCCGCCGAGTCCACCTAGCCCGCTTGCACCACCGACCCCACCTGAGCCGCCGAGTCCCCCAATGCCAATGCCGCCAATCGGCAGCACCCCAGCGTAGCCACCAACACCGCCGAATCCACCAATGCCGCCGTACGTGATGAAGTTCTTCTGGTCATCGAGGCCAGCACCGCTAGGCGCAGTGGCCTTAGGTACATTTTGTACATTGTTTTGGTCATGATTGGGATCAACATTGTTGGGTGCTGTGGTGGTAGTAGTACTAGGAACATTCCTTGCTGTGGCATGTACTAGTAGTACTAGTGCAACCACAATGTACAACAGGTACAACTTTGCCATTTTTTCTCTCTAACTCTCTCTCTCTCTAAAGATTACTAGGGTTTTCAGATTCGTTGGGTCTGAGCTTGGAGTGTTGGGTATTTATAGAGAGAGTGAACGGTGGAGTACAGTTTGGGTATTAATGGAGTATAGTAAATGTGGTACCAAAAACAGTTTGCTATAAACAGTCTCGAGAATGGTATTTCTTTCAATTGTGGGTCAGAGTTAGCTGAATAAAAAGAAGAGATAGTTAAGGTACTCATGCTTGTCACGACATTCAAGCCTTTTGGCCATATCTCACGTTATTGGCTTCTTTGTCATCCACCACGGTCCACGCATTGTATGTGCATGTATCAATACATGCCAGCTAGTTATACAAGTCATCCATGAGGTTTTAATAAAAAGAATTTTTTATAATATATATATATATACATATATAATTCAGAAATATATATATATATATATATGAATGATACCCCTAAAATATATGGCCTCTTTTTCTAAACTTAACTAACAGAAGGACTTCAAATTAAACAGTTTGGTTCGGGACAATTCATTATATATAAGGGTAACGTGAAAGTAATCCCGTCATATAAAAATTGTGCTTAAACACCCCCTCTTAGTGTGAGTGTATAATCTCATACAAATTGTTCCATAATATCTGTTGGTCGTCAATTTTGATTGATTTTTTTAATAAAATTTTCAAAATACTCTTAGGATGTATTCGACTGCATAGAATTGAAACCTTGAAATTGAAATTGGTAAAATTTGAGAAAATTTTAGTTCAAATTTATTTATTATTTTCACAAATTTCAATTTTAAAAGCTTCAATTCCATGAAACTGAACACACTCTTATTATTTTTTCAAGAGAGAGTTTTTATTTTTATTTTTTAATTTAGTCTTAAGGTCATTTTAGGTATTTTAATCTTCAAATTAAACAAAATAAAAAAAAAAAAATCCTTATTTGTTCAATTTGAAGGATGTTGAGAAATTTTTTAAACAGTAGAAATTTTTTTTTTGCACTCTAGCCCATCTCTAATGAAACCATTTTTAGTTCCATCCATTAGCCCAATTTTAGTGCATTTTGACCATTACAAGATAAACTCATTATATGTTGCTTGTTAGTTCCATAATCAACGTATTAGCCTTCCATATTTGACCTCACGTGCTCCACTTTTAAAATTTAACAATTAAAATGATTATTTATCTTCTTTTTGTACCATCTTTTTAAATAAATTATATAATTAATGAATGGTAAATTTGTTACTTTAATTATTAAAATTAAAAGATAAAGTGCCGAAGATCAAATGTGAAGTGGGCATGTTAAGCTCCCAAATTAAATTGTTATATATATATATATATATATATATATATATATATATATATATATATATATATAGTCATCATGAGTTCAAAACCCATATATATCTCTCTCTCCTCTGTCAGTGTTGCTGCCATTGAGAACCAATAAACAGTAGTGACTTTACATGCATGGGAAGCTGAAATTATATGGTGTCAGGCCCATTAGATGCTTGAAAATCTTTGCGTACTTGGACCCACTGATATTTCACAGTCCATCAAATCTGCTTCTGAACCCACTCTTTCTGGCCCTACCAATTTCCAATGGACTCTCAGGTTGGGTTGGGACCTAATAGTCAACTATAGCAGTTGGGTCAGTCTTTATGGTTCATAATTTGGTCAAGTTTGGACTTTTTCAACAAACAAATATATATATATATAAAAATTCCTGCAATCCAAAACCTAATCTTCCTAGTTAAGACGAAGTCCAAAAGGCCCAACCCACTTAAATGTTGGCCCATCATATTGTAAATTAAATTTGGGTTGGGTTGAGCTGGTCTTGACTGGGTCAGCTAATTTTCCTAACCCATTCCTAAATTCTTATTTTAAGTTCCCTACATTTTAAATAGTATTTTTTTTTTTTTTTTTTTAAGCTATGTCGCAAAATTTCGATGTATGATAAGTTTATTTTTCCTAATCGGCTCCGATTGTTTCTTCGTAAATTCAAATAAAATATTCTTTTATTTTTACTTTTTCAATATTTGGCAAAGGTCTATGTCAAGGTTGAGCCATCGGGCGGGACGTGCAAACAAAAATTGATGGATAAGTTATTTTTGTTATATTTTAATATATTTTTTTCTTAGTAAATATTTTACCATAACCAAACACCAAAAAAATAAAAATATATTTTCATCCAAACAAACGGAATTGAAAAGTCTTTTTTAAAAAAAAAAAAAAAAAAAAAAAAAGAGTACTTTTATCACCCCTTTAACACAATGTGCTAATTCCATGTGACCCAATTACCAATTGGACTCATTGGACCCATTGGACTTTTTTATAAACTCTACTAGTATTATTTAGCATCCAACTTCATGAAATTATAACAAGTCTCATGCTCTATGTATACTATTTTCTATGTATAGAAGAGCAATTCAAATTATTCCATTCATATATCACGTGGTATGCTATTTGCATAGAGACCACCCTTTCCATATTGTTTTTATGCTTGTCTTATTCTTCACATACAATTACTAAACTATATGACAATCATTTTGGCAAGTCTCTATCATTTTCCATATTTAGTTCTCTGGACATTGGTCCTTTTTTATTCTTAATACATGATTTCATATATAACAAAACTGTTTAATTTTCAGATTTTTTTTATCCCTTTTTATTTTAAAAAAATTAGAAAGAAAAATAATATTCAAAAAAGGGTCTATGTAGTTTTAATCCACACGGGTGGCCTAGAAGATAAAAGAGCCTCTTGAGGTGAATCGTAAACTTGGATATTCTAAGTTTGATTCTTACAAGGCACAAAAACCCTCGGGTTTAAATGATGTGTGATTTGTGAGTAATTGTACATATTCAGAGTTTACAAACTATTCGAGAGTCCAGAGTAGCTAACAGATGGGTTGATTAAAATACAAAGAATATGATAGTTTTAAATATCTTATAAAATAAAATAAAAATTGATATTCAATGCAAAGGCTTGGGATATATTAAAAAAATTAAAATTCAAAACAGTATCCAAAGGAGAACACAAAAAGAAAAAGGAAATCCTAAGTGGCATAAATATGAGTAACTATTTGGAAATGTAACAAAATCATTTTTATATGATTGGAAAGCCTTTTCTTTTTGGTTTTTCTGTTGGTAATGCATGGTTGAGAATTGAAAATTGCCTTGGTTTTGAAAACTCTGAGCGCACAAAGTTATAATACATACATACATTTATATATACATATATATTGACCTATCTTTTCATGGTCTGCAAAGTAATGGAAATAGATAATGCCAAATGAAAATCACAAGATTGTTGCATTACAAGATTTGGTTTTGGAGCTAAAATTCAATTATGCTGGTTTATGAATTGTTAAGGGGGGCTAGGATCCCACATGCTAATAAAAGTCATTAATCCCAACATATATATAGTATGGTGAAAAATATTATTGAAACAGCAAGATTTTAAAAATTACAGATATTTGCAAAAAATTTGATCATATACTTATTGTTGATTTGAACAATTGAAGGCTGATATTAAAAATCATACCAACATATCTAGTTTCATGAAACTATATACTGCATGACAGACACTGACTTTTTTTGAGTGAATGCAGTCCTTTTAACCTGAAAGTTGTGGGCTGAACAAAGTAGCACAGCAGTCAAAGATCTTGAAAGAGGACACTCTCCCTCACTCACTAGGTACAAATTAGGAATTAGGAATCAATTCAATTCTTTCAAGGTGATTGCCAATGAGAGAAAAAGTGAGGCAGATACCTGACTCCATTATATAGGCACACATGCAGGGAATCACAGATGACAGACCCCACTCACTTTGGGTCCCACCCAACAGACCATAGGGTCCAAACCATCACATGATCTATCCATCACCATGTACTAGCTTTTTGTGAACTTCCCAGCAGATTCTCTCTTCTGTCAATCCTTAGATTGCTTTGAATTAAATTCCTTAATTATTTGTACTGTTTTTTGGTAAACCAATCCATCCATTAATTATTTTAAGAATAATGATGCAATGACTAATAGTGTGGTGGTGGGTCCCACTATAATGATGTCATCAAAACGTCTTGTGATGGGACACATCACTTATTGGATTCAGTCCTTAAATTGCTACTTTTATTTTAAACTTTTGTATAATTTTATGATTTTTATACATTACATGCAATCACTTGCAAATCACATACATTATTTTTTCGAGTCTCACGACCGAATCAAAGACCTAAGAGAGAACTCTCAAAGACTTTATCAGACAATTTACTTATATGAATTATGACTTATACTCACAATTTTTGCAATATGACACACATTATTCAATAAATGCGACCTCTCAAAGACTTTATCAGTCAATCTACTCATATGAATTATGGCTTGTACTCACGATTCTTGCAATATGACACATTATTCAATGAATGCGACCGACATTGGACTAGCATTTATCTTGAAGTATGGGGGATATTCGAGCTTAGCTGTAGCATCAGTTCAGTTGGCATGTTACATCATCTTAAACCCTAACTCTTGGTTTGTCTTTTACACAAACCCACACATACTACAATTTTATGTTTCTCAATGGGGCCTACAATTCTGTTTGTAAGCTGTAAATTGAAACTTAAAACCTGGAGGAGAATGCTGAAATTGTTGTGCATGATACACTTGCTCCAAAAGCCAAATTTGCATATGTTGGATTCATTTGTACTCCTTCGTTAATTAATTACGAACATTAACCTTTTCCTCTTTACATCAAAATAAAATACAAAGAGATTTTAAAAACTGAAGAAAGTACTAAGATAACAAGCTTATTCTGCATAGTTGTAGCCATCTAGTGTGTCACTTGAATCCCATTTTGGCATTAGAGGAAGATGAATATAACAATGAGGATGCAGAGAAGCTTGTGTTATTGCTTGTTGGATACAAACTTTGCATAGTCTGTGCCGATGACGACGTTGCCTGAACTCCACTGGAGTTCTTATTTTCTTGAACATCGATGGAGGCCGGAGAGCCCTTGAGTAGAACATCAACCTTAGCATACTCTTCTCTCTCATGCTTGATTTCCTTGAGCATTGCTGCCACATCTTTCATGGTAGGCCTTTCGTCCGGGGAGGAGTTTACGCATAGTAAGGCAATGCCTAATGCTTGCATCATTTCTTCAATTTCTGATTCTGATCTTGCTAGCAAGCTTGGATCAAGGACTTGAATTCCTCCCCTCATTTGCCTCACCCAATCCGCTAAATGTAGTCCCTCTGGTATGGTTGGATCGATTGGTTGCTTCCCTGTCAAAACTTCCAATACAACTACGCCATAGCTATAAACATCGCTTTTCTCCGTGATCTTCATCATGTAACCATATTCTGAAATGGAGAACTTGAATAAGAACAAGACTGCTAAATTGGGATTGATTTGCTAATGTGAGAAACTACTTGAGAAGCATGAAAATTAGGCCACCAGCCAAATCAAAACCTTTCTAAATCACTTGTAACATAGTTGTAAACAGAGTCAAGACCATGTGTTTTAACATACAGAGTTTCAAACATGCGAATAAGTCAATGTTATATTAAGTTCACATTCAAATTTGACAAATATATGAAGCATATGGCTATTGAACTATTGTGTTGGAGGAAGAAGTATTTACCAGGAGCAATATATCCATAGGAACCTGCAACTGTGTTAGAGGATCTGGCAAAATCACCATCATCGACGAGCTTGGCTAGCCCAAAATCAGCAATGTAAGGCTCGAATTCGAGACCAATGAGGATGTTATTGGCCTTGATGTCTCTATGAACAATGGGAGGGACACAGTCATGGTGTAAATAAGCAAGGCCTTGTGCTGCTCCCAACAAAATTTGGTATCTCAATTCCCACTCCAAGGGGTTCCCATTCCTCTCATGCATGAGACTACCCAAGCTCCCATTAGGCATGTAATCATACATGAGCAATCTCATGTTTCGATTCCAACAACAGCCCAAGAACCTAACAATGTTCTTATGGCGTATTGAGCCAAGGGTCTTTATCTCAGCAGAGAAGGAATCACGAACTCCAGTTTTCTCGTCGTTACAACCATTGGTTGCAGCCATGGTTGTTGGCCAAAGCTTTTTCACTGCAATAATGTCTCCATTCTCCATATCTGCACGATAGACCACCCCAGAACACCCTTTTCCTATCACATTAGTATCCACTAAGCATCTCAACACTTGGTCTACTGAGAAGTTCAGCTTCTGGAATGGAGTGAATTGCCAAGGCCATGACTCACCCATTTCTGAATCACTGTCACCTCTAATAGTCCTTCGTGCTCGAATAACTGCAAATATTCCCATGATCACCATTGCAATTGTCATAGTGATTAGCAATGCAATTGCTAATTTAAGCCTCCTAGACCGCCTAACATCACTCTCATTTTCCTTTAGCCCTGTCTTGGCAACATTGCTCAAGAAGCACGAGTCATGGCCAAAAGAGCATAAGCCTTGGTTTCCAGCCAAGTCAGTTGATGATAATTGTCGAAAGAGCTTGTTGTCGGGAAGATAACCGGTGAAGTTGTTGTAAGAGATGTTGAGAGAGACAAGATTGTCAAGCTCAGAAAGAGGATTCAAGTCCCCCTGAAGCTTGTTATGTGAAAGGTCTAATATGGAAAGCTTGTTGAGTGCTGATATTTGAGCAGGAATAGACCCTGTGAGCCCATTACAACTGAGGTTGAGAGCAATTTCTAGGGCCTCAATCTTACACAACTCAATTGGGATATTCCCAAAGAGCTCATTGCTGCTAAGATCAAGCAACTGGAGACTCAAACAAAGGCCAAGCGACGAAGGGATCGATCCAGAGAACGAATTCTTGCTTAGAACAAGCTTGTTCAACGAATCAAGGCGTCCAAAGCTCGCTGGAATAGGACCCGTGAATCGATTACTCGAAGCATCCAAAACTTGGAGCCCGGATAGTGATGACAATGAATTAGGCAGGGGACCCTCTAGTGTGTTGTTGCTGATGTCTACCATTTGCAATTCTATGCAGCTTGCAATCTCATCTGGCACCAATCCAGAAAGGCGATTTCCAGACAAATCAAGAAAATTTAAGCTCTTTAGACCCCCAATTTCTTTCGGAATCTCCCCGGTAATTCGATTGTTTCCAAGCCTAAGCCTCACAAGAGAGCTACAATCACCAACCTCTGGTGGTATTGAACCCGAAATGTCATTCGAAATCAAGAGAAATTTTGTGAGGTTTTGTAGTTGAAACAAGCCAAGAGGTATACTACCAGTAAGTGAATTATGTGACAAGTCAAGTGCTTGAAGGTTACTACACTTAGCCAAACTAGAAGGTATGCTTCCTTCAAGCTGGTTTTGCCAAGCAAAGAACACCACAAGCTTTGACAACATCCCAAGCTCGGGAGGGATCAAACCTGAGATCTGATTGGTGTCAAGCTGTAACTGTAAAAGATTGGACGCATTGGAAAGTACTGATGGGATTGAACCAGACACATTATTATCACTAATCATAAGCTCTTCAAGCTCAACAAGCCCACCAAATGACCATGGAATTGTTCCAGAGAGAGAGTTCAATGAAAGATCAATCATTGTCAAGCTAGTACAATTCCCAATCGCATCTGGGATGATCCCAACTAAATTGTTCTGCCACAACAACATCTTCTCCAGATTCCGGAGCTTCCCGAGCTCCGGCGGAATCGAACCTGAAAGACCATTTTCATATAAATACAAGTTCACAAGAGCAGAACAGTTACCTATCTCAGGTGGAATTTCTCCGGAGAGCATTGTGGTGTATACGGACAGTGTCTGAAGCTTTCCAAGCCTACCCAATGAAGCCGGTATAGAACCCGAAACCCGAGTATCTGCAAGCCCCAACACAGTCAGGTTACCGCAGTTTCCGAGCTCGCCGGGAATTTCTCCGACGATGTCCTTGTTGCCGCCGGCGCGAAGGACTTCAAGACTGGACAATTGGCCTAATTCAGCCGGAATATTCCCGGTGAGACGGTTATCGAATAGGATTAGATTCCTGAGGCTTTGGCAGTTGCTGAGCTCAATTGGGAATTTTCCAGTGAGTTGATTTGAGTTCAAGATCAAGTCTTGGAGGTTTTGAAGCTTGCCTATGGTTGATGGGATTGAACCCACTAAACTGTTTGAGCTAAGGTCGATGAGAGTGAGTGAATGGAGGTCACCGAGCTCGGCGGGGATAGTTCCGGTGAGATTAGCATCTGAAATGACGAGTGTTTGGAGGTGAATCAATGAAGAGAGATTCAAATTCAATGGAAGCTGTAAAGGGATTGATTGGATGTTGATTTGGGAGACAAAGCCTTGTGGGTTACATGTGATGTGTGTCCACCTACATGGGTCGGTGTCAAGTGAGATCCAATTTGAGAATGAGGAAGGTGGTGATGAAACAGAGGTGTGAAGCCATGATAAGAGTGTTGTGGCTTCGTGGTTGGCGGTGGTGGCAGCGGTGGCGGTGAGAATGGTGAAAAGGGTTGTGAGAAGAGTGAAGAGTGGTGGTGGAGATTTGGTTAAGAATGGTGATGGTGAAGAGGAGGAGGGGTGGGATTGTCTCGAGCTGGGCATCGACATTTGCCTCAATTTCCAAACCTTTCTTCTCGGGTTTGCATCATTTGGGGTTTGATGTTTCTCTCTCTTGCTCTCTCTCTCTCTCTCCACTGTTTCTCTCTCTATCTGTGTGTGTGTTTCTCACTATGCGAGTTCTATATTAAGCTTGCTTGGTTTGAACTCAAGCTCATGAAGTGGTACACTTGGCCTTGTTTTTCTACTACAGCAGTGCATAACAAAGCACCAACTAACAAACGTTCATAAAAATATAATAATTAAAGAAATGAAAGCAAGGAAGGAATACATTGAGATCAGCGAGCTGCCACCACCACCACCACCCACCATCCCCACCTAGGATGCCCCCTCTCTATCTATCTATCTATCTATATATATATATGTATATACACATTATATATGTGTGTATCTATAGATGAATATGTTTATTGATATATATATTATAGGTGTATATGCATATGAAGAGATCAGAAAGAAATTTAGAAAAAGGGAGGTGGTGGTAGATTGTGTCACGCGCACGGAGGGAAACACCAGCTAGCAATCTATACCATGATTAATATCTATTTATTTATGTAAGTTATGTATTTGCAATTTGTTTATGGTTTAGGTATGTGTTTGAATCTATTAGTAAACACAAGAAAATATGGGAGCAGTTAACTCCAACTTCAAGTCCGTGTTCCCTCTTCATTCACCATTTTTTATTCCCAAGCGATGGACTCTCTCTTGCTTTTACCCCGGCAAAAGATGAACTGGTTGTAGACAATTACTAAAATATACCCTCTAAAATTGAGAGACATAAGATAATGCCAGGACTATGATAATTAAGAGTAATAATACAGAACCGAATATATCAGAATCGAATTAAATTTATGTTAGAAAATAATTAAGTTATTTTGACATTATCTTCAACGTTTCTTTTATATATAAAAGAGAGATACATCCGAGTTTTGAACCATTTATTATTATTCAAAAATTAAATAGAGACACTCTTTTTTTGATGGGGGTATTGTTGCGGACTGACGAGAGAAATGAGTCAGTCACAAAAATTGGATGGACAAATGTAGCTTTACTATTTTCACTATCATCCATTGCAAGAGAGACAATCCATTAACTGCACTAGTAATCCTGTTATCATTCAATCATGTATTGGTACATTAATTAAAAATATATATATTTCTTTAAGTGAATCGTATTGCCCATTTAAATGGAATTGTGCCGAAGAGCCGTTTTCTACCTGAAAAGACAATTTTTGGAGTGGAAATGGGCAAAAGAGCAATGTTCACTGCTTTTCCATACGCTATTTTTAGACCAAATTCAATCATTTATCACTTCAAAAATCCTTTATTTTATCTATTTATTTTATCTTATAGGAGGTCCGTTGATTAACTCCCATTGTGCTCTTTGGGAAGACCAAACCATCCACCTTTCAGATTGAAAGGACAGGAAATTCCACTTGGGCCACACGTCTCGGTGTACAAGTGAGGTTTTAATATTATGATTTTTTTTAAATGGAACTTTATTTTTTTTTTTTATTTTACTGTTGATAACCCAATCATAACAAGTAGTCCATATATTTTATACAATTTTGGACACATTTAATTAGCCCACTAAATGATGCGTGTCAATTATATAAGATTATTCGTAATAGAACGAATCCTTATATGATAGGGTTATATTGAGGGTGTTGAACCTCAAGGACCGTGTTGATATTGTTAACTGTTAGATTAATCCCAATTTGATTCCAGAAAAAATGTTGATTTTGAGTTTAACTATTTCTAAATTGCGAAGAAATGAAAGAAAATTGAAATTAAACTAATGGAATAATAGATATCAAGAGAGATGGAGACTCAGGGGATTAACTTCAACACTAGCCTCGTAACATAGTTAATTGTCTCAACTATGGGGAATTCATACTTATATTTATTCAGGAATCAAGTGGCTATAAACACGTTTCAATTCAATTAAGAAGGTATATATAAATAAACACTAAGCCATAACTCATCTTCGGTTGGCACGAATTGTCTATCTAACTACTTTAATTTACCATACAGACTATACAATACAACTCATCTTCCCTATGCATGAATTATCAAACATATTCTTTCATATATTCGTTAAGTACCATTGCATAATCACTACTCCTATAATCACATAAAATAAGAGAAGTTTGAATTCAATTATAATAAAATTAATTATAAGATAAAAGATTAATGAATTAAAACTAATTGTAATCATTAAAACCCAATTGCTTAGTACAACTAAGTTAATTGCTCACAACCATGCAATCAATATACATAGAAAAATTCTCAAAATTAAAAACAATCAAACCATGCTACTCGGACTAAGGTTACATCAATTCCCTAAGAATGAATTTAGCTACTTATGGAGAAGGAAGATATCATTGTTATTCTTGCAGAAATCCTCTCCACGAACTACAAAAACTCCTTAGGATCTCCTTTTTCAATTTTTAATCTTCAATCCAACTTATAAAACCCTAAAAGCTGCCAACAACCCTTTCTTGTGTCTTATCATCTTCTTTTATTGTGGAGAATAAGTGATAATCCCCCTTGGATAGGTTTTACAACTTCTAATGACAATTAGGCTTATAAGGAAACAAAGCAGACAGGTTTTACAATTTTCCCGTAATTTTTGAAAACTTTTAAGTGGTTTGTGCTTTTAGTGCTCGAGCACTAGGTCTTAGTGCTCGAGCATTAGACTTTATGCTCAAGCTTTTTGATTTAAAATTTTTGGAGCGTCTTTTCATCAAACACTTAATCATTTTTGCTTGATTTCAACCAATGTTCAAGCATTGAAGAGCTATGCTCAAGCACTGAGGGGTTGTGCTCGAGCTCTAAGGCTTGCATTTCTTCAATTCTTCTTGGTTGAATCCCAAATAGACCCGAAAGGCCGGAATGTCTCCTTAAGTATCAGGAACACCATTCCAAGCATTAAATCCATGAAATTGTCAATATCTTCAAGTAAAGACCTACAAATAACAAATAAACAAAAACAAACATAAGAACGGAGATAAAGGCATAACTAAGGTATTAATATATGCACGTTTAAGGGCTTGAATGTGAAATATTCAGTGTTTATCACTAACAAAATGATAATAATGAAATCACGTAAATATTATGTCAATACATTCAAGGGCTCACACAAATATATCCATACTTAATTTAGTGGTTTGTATAATGAATTTATGCCAACCAATTATCAACATTGTGACACATCACTGTATTTATTAAATTAACTCGTTGAATAAAATGAGAAAAACTGATATCACATAAATCTCAAGTCAATACATTCGACAGCTCACACAAATACATAAAAAAAAAAAAAAAAAAAAAAAAAAAAAAAAAAAACTTAATTTTAGTTAGTTTGTATAGCGAATTATGTCAACCAATTAACAACATTGTGACACATCAATAGATTTCCTTAATTAGTCCGCTGAACAAAATTAGAAATAATGACATCACAAAGGGTCAATACATTTAAGAGCTCAAACAAACACATCTAAAAAAATTAATTTAGTTGGTTTGTATTGTGAATTTATACCAACCAATTAACAACATCGTGACACATCACAGGATTTACTTAATTAGCCCGTTGAACAAAATGAGAAAAAATGACACACGTAAAGCTCAGGTCAATACATTTAAGAGCTAACACAAATACATCCAAATAAAACTTAATGTAGTTAGTTTGTGTGGTAAATTTATGCCAAACAATTAACAATATTGTGACACATCCATCATTAGACTTGTTGAGGGTGAAATTCACACGGTCTTATACGACACCGTTTACCTGCAAGGAAATGAGGAGAAGATCGATGAACCTTGACAACACTGGTGTGGTGTCTGCCAAGAGCTCTCCGACGATCAAGTTAGTCACCGGAGGTCTTAAAAGAAGGCAGGGATTTAATAATAGTTTTTTTGTCATACCTTATTCCCGAGTCATCGTCTTATTTATCGTCGTTTCCCCTCTTCTCGATAAGGGAATTTCATCATCCTTATCATATGGAACTTATCCCATGGAAATCTTATCCTGCATAAGATTTGTCATCATTCTTATCCATGGAAATTGTTACCCCTAATAACAAAATATTATCGTTGATCACCGAAAGATCTGATTACTGGTCAACAGTTGGTTGCCTCTATTATTAGGTCAACGTAAGTTTATTTTTTTCCTATCAGTTGACCCCCATTCCCAAGCTTGCTCGTCTAGCTTTGGGAATGTAAGATTTTTTTTTTTTTTTTTTTTTGCCCGCGGGTACTGTTCATTGAACAGTAGAGTAATTATTATTATTATTATTTTTTCTTTGCCCTGGGAACAGTACCCGCGGGTACTATTCCCGCAGTACTGTTCATACAGATATATATATATATATATATATATATATATATATATATATATTCTTTTTTCTTGCCTCGTGAACAGTACCCACGGGTACTGTTCATATGAACAGTAACATTTTTTTTTTTCTTGGTACTGTTCCCTTGGGTTCTATTTTTGGTACCTTTACGTACTCCGCCCTGGGTACTATTCTTAGTGCCCTTGGGTACTCTGCCCTTGGGTACTTTGCCCCTGGGTATTGTTTTTGGTACCCTTGGGTACTTTGCCCCTTGGAACTATTTTTGGTATCCTTGGGTAATCTTTCCCTTGGGTGCTCTGCCCTTAGGTATTATTTTTAGTACCCTTGGGTACTCTGCTCCTAGGTGCTAGTTTTGGTACCCTTGGGTAATCTTCCCTTGGTAAGGGAATAAATTGTACAAGCTTTACTCAGGTCGTCACTCCTTTAATAAGGGAATTGAACTTTACGAGCTTTACTCAGCTCACTCCTTTAGTAGAGAATTTTTATTTACTATCCCTTATTGTAAGGGGATATTAATTACAAAATTCATTCAGCCTAGGTCCTTGTAGTACAAGACACTCATTTATTATCTTTTATATTATGGGGATATGGATTACAGGATTCATTCAGCCCGGGTCCTGATAATACAGGATATTTATTTACTATCCCTTATAGTACGGGGATATAGATTATGGGATTCATTCAGCCCGGGTCCTAATAATACAGGACACTTATCTCATATAGTCCGGAGATATGGATTACAGGATTCACTCAGCCCGAGTCCTTATAATACATGACACTCATTTACTATCCCTTATATTAGGGGAATATGGATTACGGGATTCACTCAACCCGAGTCCTTATAATACAGGACACTTATTTACTATCTCCTGTAATACGGGGATACTGCACGTATAAAGATAATTGACCAAGAGTCAAGGCAATTGAAAG